AAGCTTCTACCATTCTCAATCTGGTCCAGTTTAGTGATGATCATGGGAGAAGTTCTGCCACCAACATGCTCTGGTACAAGGATACAGGAACTGGACAAGCATATCCTAATGAGTTCAGGAATTCAGGTGCATTGTTGACAACAACCGATGTCCCAAACGCAACACAACTTACTGGAACACTTTTCAGACAGCATTTTCAGACAGGAGCTCTAAAGAATCCTGCTTACAATACCGGATACAGTGCTCGACATCTCATTACAACTGGAAATAAGGATACAACCATGTTGCTTCCTTTATCATCACTGTTAGGTTTTTGTAAAGATGTTGATACAGTATTCATGGGAGTCAAGCATACACTCAATCTTACCAGAGAATCATCAGCCAACTACATTCACAGAGCAAATGGTGTTGATCCAGGAAGGTTTGACATCAAACATCTTTCTTTGTGGATACCAAAGGTGAGACCATCACTCCAACTAGCTAGTAAGATTGAAAGTAAGTTGGTTAAGTCCACCCTCCGAGATCTATACTTCGAGCTAGTCCGGGTTTATAGAAATCAGTATGGATCAACGGAGACAAACCCATCCTGGAGAGTGACTACTCACAGCAATGAGGAGCTCTCAACTCATATCTTCTTTGCCATCCAAGCAGCTAATCGAAGTGGGAATCAAGAACAGAACAACCAGGTTTTCGACAATGCTGACCTCAGAAGCTTGTCTGTATACATCAACAGCGATAGATTCCCAGAACGTGATTTGGATATGAATTTCAGTCCAGCTACTCGGAATTATACAAGAGCATACATGCTTTTCCAAGAAGCCATCCAAAAATATGCTGACACAGACAGTGGAAGTCAGGTAAGTGTGGAGGATTTTGCCTCTTTGTACACCATCATTCATGTAGATGTGAGTAAGCATAAGGAGAAGCTGAGGAACAGCTCTGCTGATATCGAACTTCGATGGAGACTTGGAAAACCGTTTGAGTTTCCCACTGGTACAGCTGCTTCTTACCAAACCATCTGTTTGATTCTCTCCGAACGTCATCTCAAACTCAATGGTATGAATGGCAAAATGAGTGTTGTGGTGTAAGAAAAAAGATAATAGTAGATAGGAACCATGAATGAGTTGGAAAAGGACATTGAGATTTTATTAACAAAGGAACTAACACAGAAGAAAGGTGGTAGTATCGGTTCTGTGATCGGAAGATTGGTTGGGAAGATATCTCCACTTGTGATCAAGCATGCTCCCAACATCCTTGGTACACTTGGACTGGCTGGTATTTCTGGTGCTATTTCTGGAAGCACACACAGAGCCACAGCTGGTCGTGGAATCGGTCAGTATGTAGAATATGGATTGATGCTAACTCCAAACCAAAAGAAGAAACTTGGTAGTGCTCATGATGGAATCACACTCCGGTTGACAAAAAAATCAGTTATCCGGAAATGATATGCTTTTGCTCACAAACCGACAGATTACCAAAATCAAAAAGTCCAAGCAAAAAGGAGTAGGAATGGATCTCAAGTTATCCAGTACTCAACTCAAGAAGCAAGGAGGGTTTCTCGGAGCATTAGCAGCTGGATTATTAGCACCAGCTCTGGGAAAAATGATCGGTTTAGGAAACACCGGTGAAGGATTACAACTTCCTGGAACACGGAGGGGTAGAGGGGTAAAAAAAGACCAAAAAGGAAAGGGGTTACGTCTACCAGGAACGTGAGACCACTGACCAACTTTGACATTGATGAAATTCTGAGATCTATTCCACATTTCAGAGGAACTTTTAGCAAAGATCAGCTTCCACAACCTCTATCATCAAAGGATTGTTTGGTAATCAATCTCCAAGATTTCTTGGACGGTGGTGGTACTCACTGGGTTTGTGTGTTTGGTAATGAATATTTTGACAGCTTTGGCTTATCACCACCAGAGGAGGTAGTCGGGTGGATGAAGAAGCACCATAAAAAATGTTGGTATAACTCATCAAAGATACAGATGAATGATAGTGTCCTGTGTGGATACTACTGTATACATTTCATAGAAGAAAGAAACAAAGGCAGAAGTTCTCTTGATGTCTTGTTGGATTTCACTCAGCACCCCAGTCAAGAAAATGAGCAGTTGGTATTGTAAAAAAAAGGGGAAGAAAAAAAGAGATAAAAAAGGAAAACACAAAAAACCTTTTTTCTTTCACTAGTTCCTTTTTCTTTTTTGGTATTCATTGTATAAGCATCATCAATTTTATCATTCACGGAGCTTGTGGAATTTCGTTTTTTCATGACGGGATTTGTGATTTCTTGGATAAGACTTCTCACATTTCTCACAGACAACTCTTTCATTGGCATATTGTCTGATTTTCTTGTGATTATCTTGATACCACTCTGATGCTGATCTTCCAGGCTTGTTTTTATTCACGGTATCCAGTTTTTCGATCCAGTATCGTTCTCTCCTCTTAAGCTCATCTTTATCAAACATTGATAGAGAGTCAATCTCAACAATTTCTACATGTCCGAGATCAAGCAGAATGAATGATGTCACAAAATTATGATTACCTTTTTGATATGCTCTGAAAGTGGATCTATGAAGATACAACCTATTTTTCAGTGGTAGACAAGTGGAGCCCACATATACCTGATCGGTGTGTTGGCTTACAAGTTTGTAAATCTTACAAGGAGAAGTCATCTTTGCTGATAGAAAATCTTTGGAATTCTCATCGGTATACTTCTATACAACAGGATTCAAATAACCGTTTATGATGATAATTCGGTGTAGAAAAAAAGAGGAGAGTTGGTCACCTCTTTTCTCTTCTCTTCTCTTCTCTTTCTCTCTTCTATTTTTTCTTACAAATATTCATCAATATCATCCTGAAACTTCTCTAACAGGTGATTGTTGGTGTAGGAACTACAGATTCCTCCATACTTTGGATTTTCACAAATTCTCAGGAAAATGCTTGGGATGATATTCATTTGTTCATCAAGAGCATTTTCAAACACATCATCAAATAAATCACTGGTCATTGAATCATCCATCATTATTCTATCAATCATCTCATCTTCACTTTCATCAATGTGATTAATAAATGATTCCATATCCTCCCAAGGATCACCACAATCAGGAGTATCAGGTTCATAGTCAAAGTCCTCATAGGAGAAATAGTCACTTGGAAAAGACGCAGCCATCGTTGTAGGTAATTGATTTTACAAATTCTATCAAACTTGTTGGATCTTACCCTATAGTATGAACAGTTTAGATAACATAATTGGTGATATGGGTGGAAAGAAAAAAAGATAGATAGACAAACATGAAAATGTATCACATAATCTGCCGTGGGACAGTTGGGTTTGGATATTCTCTCTCCAACATTCCACATTTCCGTGGAAATATTCTGGGGGTGAGTTTGGATCTCACGAAAGATGATCAGGAGTATGACACGATCAACATCCACATATTTACCATAAATCCACAGATTTTTCTATCATTGACAAAAGCTGAGCTTTTACAAGATGGATAATGGAAATTTCAGACTTGTTTGTGCTGAAAAGATTGATGAGAGCTTGGAAGATCACTGTGAAAATATGGGATTGTTGAAACATCTTTGTATACATGAGAAATAAAAAAGTAGATAGATAGATAAAGATGAATGTTCATTGCCTATCGTGTAAGAAAAAGCAACAGATGAGGGGGATACAAGGAGAAGTCACATCAACTGGTCAACCATATGTCAAGGGTAAGTGCTCAGTATGTGGTCGATCGTGTTCACAATTTATCAAGAAATCGGAAATCAGAGAAGGTGGATTCCTGTCTGGTTTGTTCAAGATGATAGGTTTAGGAGTAAAAAAAAAAAAGATAGGAAATGGACTGATGATCTGGCTGATGAGTTACACAAGCCAAAGCGTGTGAATTTCACTAAGAGACAGGTGACTGTGAGTGAGATTGATGAAATCTGGTCCGCCGATCTCGTGGATATGACAGCTTTTCGTAAATACAATGATGAAATCAAATTTCTGCTTACTGTCATTGATCTGTTCAGCCGATATGCTTGGGTTGTCCCACTCCAATCCAAGAAAGGTGTTGACATCCAATCAGCATTTCGATCCATCGTGAAAACTAGCAGCAGGAAACCACGTAAGCTGTGGGTTGATCAGGGTACCGAGTTCTATAATCGAACGTTCAAACACTGGCTTGATGAGAATCAGATCACGATGTACAGCACTCACAACGAAGGAAAGGCTGTTGTAGTTGAGCGTTTCAACCGAACTCTGAAAACCATGATGTGGAAATACTTCAGTGCTAACTCCACCAGCAGGTACATCGATGTCCTTCCATATTTGGTAGAGAAGTAGAGGGGACGGTTTCAAATAGGACACCGGTTGCAAACCGGAACGGACTCAATATTCACTTTCTCTCTTGGTATTTTGATTAGAAAACATAGTCACAGTGAGACTACTATGTGTTATACTCCGAGCCAAAATTTCATGGCTCTGCGATGACCAGAAGCGCCATATCAAGCAGGTGAGTTTTTGACGTGTTGCTTCGCACTGCGACTTGAGTTTTACGACTTTCGAAAAATCAACTTCTTGTCGCAGGTAAACAGCGGCTCGCCTCTCGCCAATAAAGCACCGCATACCAATCAAAACTAATGGAAGCACACACAAGGCTTATTGTTACTCTGTACTGGCCGTCGTGGAGCGATAGCAATTACCTAATTTCAGACCCAGAGTGAATTTGACGTGCACTCTAAAACGTGTCCGGTTTGGAGCCACCTCTGATTTGAACTTTTTTGAAGCGAAAAATTGGGCAACTTGGAAGCAATGGGTCAACACAAAGGAGTGGCTCAGTTCGATTGACTCTGGCCCCAGAGCAAACTCCAACATGCCAGTTTCCTTCCACAAACATATTTCGAGTGAAAAATCAACGCTGATGATCGGTTTGGGTCTATACAAATTTGGCTGTCAAAACGTCCCGGTATCGAGCCGTCTCCTCTACAACACGACAAAACACAGAGGTGTTCGGATGACACCAACTGAGGCACCACGGGAGAAGAACGCTGATCGAATCCGTGACTCACTGGGTGAGAAATCTCCACTATCCAGGTCCACTAAATTCCAGATAGATGACCACGTCCGACTGGTGAAGCAGAAACGACATTTCGAGAAAGGATACACTCCGAACTGGACTGAGGAGGTATTCAGGATCACCGATATTCTCCCGACCAGACCCACTACGTACTCTGTCAAGGACCTCGATGGTGAACCCGTTGATGGGTCGTTCTATGAACAAGAGCTCCAGAAAACTACTCAAGAAATCTACCGGATCGAGAAAGTGCTCCGAAAGGACAACAAGAAGAAACAAGCCCTTGTGAGGTGGAAAGGCTACTCGGCAAGATTCGACAGCTGGGTGCCGTTTGATCAACTCAGCTGGTTGTGAAAACGCTCCGACTCCGAAACTGAAAAATATGTGAGCTCTGAAAAAGCTCCGACTCCGAAACTGAAAAACTCCGAGAAAGGTCAAATCTCACAGTGATGTCAGCATGATGATGACTGTCTCCAATCACAAGATCGTGGGTTCGAATCTAGGTTTGGACACCCCGTTCTTTTTTTCTTTCTTTCTAGGATGTAGATTAATGTATATTAGAGGGTTGTGATATACAGTAATGCTATCACTGATTGAAAAAATCCTTGTGTAGTGTAAAGATGGAATTTGACCTGAGCAAACTCACTATCACCTATGACGGGAAGAAACTCAAGACTGAGAAACAACTCCGGTGGATTCATAAAAAATTAGACCAAAGAAAGAATCGGGAACTTCTCAAGCAACAGATTCGGAAGAATCGAAAGAAGAAGAGGAAACCGATTGTCACACCACCGTTCACAGTCTCAAAGTCAGTACCCAAAGGGATTCTGAAATCGTTCATCTATGAACCGAAAGAGAATCATCCAGATCTGTATATATTCTTTGATAGTGTCAACATCCCACTGAGAACATTGATACAGAAAGAACTGGAAAATCTCAAAGGTGTGAAAGTCAGTCTGACATTACAAGTAGAAATGGAGAAAGGAGATGACATAACAACCACAGACACACCATACTTCAGGAGTGGACCAATGACAGTCACAACATCTCATGAGATTGATGACGGTATTCGAACGGCACACACACAAATTCATAGAAATATCGATAAGTGGATACAGAATGGATCAAACTGGCACATCAATCATATCGTCGGATTTTACGTTGATGTAGCAGCATATCAGCCAATGAGAGGTAAATCCTACATTGATTTACCGAACGAGCTCAAGAAAAAGAAGGCAATCATCAATGTCAAGAATAAGGATGATAAATGTCTGATGTGGGCACTGCTCTCAGCTCTGTATCCAGCAAAGAAGCATAGTGACAGGGTAACTCAGTATACAGACTATAGCAACAAACTTGATCTGTTCGGAATCGATTTTCCAACACCACTGAGTCAGATTTCCAAAGTCGAGAAGCAAAACAGCCTAGCTATCAATGTCTTTGGGTATGAAGATAACGTGATCTATCCACTACTGCTGACAAAGGAAAGAGGTGAGAAAGTGATCAATCTTCTACTATACCAAAAAGAAGATCAGAATCACTACTGTTGGATCAAAGATTTCAGCAGATTGTGCTACGATCAGTCAAAGCATAAAGCCAGGAAATTCTTCTGTACAAGATGTCTCCAACCACACAACACAGAGAAATCCCTGAGCAATCATCAGGAGTATTGTGATAATATCACTGGATTATCAGCACACATGGTACTACCAGAACCGGACGACGATGGAAATCAACCAACACTGAAGTTCATTAATCATCACAAAATGCTACAATGTCCCTATGTCATCTATGCTGACACTGAGGCACTGATCAAGAAAATTGATGGAGTGAAAAGCCAACAAACCAGCCGGGATTCACAGCATGTTCCTTGTGGTTTTGGTTATGTCGTGGTGCGTTCTGACGGAGTGATGACAAGTCAGTGTTTCTACCGGGGTGCTCATGCCATGGATGTATTCTTTGATAAACTCAAAGATGAGGAGAAGAAAATCCAATCAGCACTCAATAATCCAGCACCGATGGATCTCACTAAGGAACAAGAAGAATTGTTCAGAGAGACAGAAGACTGTTGGATTTGTAAAAAGAAACTTGGTGAGGACAGAGTCCGTGATCACGACCACATCACTGGTGATTTCCGCGGTGCCGCACACAATGACTGTAACATCAAACTCAGAATTTATCCATACAAGCAGCACATCCCTGTGGTTTTTCACAACCTGAAAGGCTATGACAGTCATCATCTCATCGGAGCAATCGGCAAGACAGATGTTGAGACCGTCACATACACGGATAAGGATGGTGTGTGTAAGAGTAAAACTGTGGGTGAGATATCAGTCATTCCCAACAACATGGAGAAATTCATCTCATTCACATGGAGACAGTTCCGGTTCATCGACAGCTGCCAGTTTCTCAATGCGTCACTCGATAGACTTGTGAAAACGACACCAGATGAGTCATTCACTCACACCAAGACGTTGCCAAACCATCAGCTGTTGATGAGGAAAGGAGTATACCCCAATGAGTACATGAACAGCTTCTCCAGGTTCGATGAGACTCAGCTACCAGCACAGAGTAAGTTCTATTCTTCACTGTCTGATGAGGGGGTGAGTGACGATGACTACAAACATGCTGAGATAATGTGGATGAAATTCGACTGTCAGACTCTTGGTGATTATCATGACTTGTATCTCAAGACCGACGTGTTTCTCTTGGCTGACATCTTTGAGAATTTCAGAGTAGAAGCTGTCAGAACGTATCAGCTGGATCCAGCAAATTACTACACTCTGCCTGGATTTGCCTGGGATGCTCTGTTGATGTACTCAGGTGTGTCCTTGGAATTACTAACAGACTATGATCAACACTTGTTTGTAGAATCAGGAATGAGAGGCGGTGTGTCGATGGTCTCACAACGATATGCTGCTGCTAATAATCACTATCAGGAGAAATTTGATGTTGATCAGCCATCGTCATTTATCCAGTATCTCGATGCCAACAATCTCTATGGTTGGGCAATGTCACAGTGTTATATTCGCCAGAATATGATCGACAGAGAACTACATGGAGCAAGAGCACAATATATTACAACTATACTTCAGAACGACAAGCAAGGAACTATTCGAAATTAGGAAACGAATAACTGACATAGCTGACAGAGTAGACTACGCGCTCTACTTCAAACACTACGCATAACGTACACATGGCAAAGCAGTTGACAACAGTGTACAAGGCATGCATGTATAATGTGCAGTACACACAGAGCAGCGTATGGCGTACAGATCATGTACAGACAGACTATGGATTCAAACATAACACTCCTCCTCCTTTAGATAAGAAACGCCGTGAGGAATAGAATGTTGTTCATACTAAAACAAAAAAGAACTACTGCGTTGCAACAGGGAACACAGTAAAGGTAAAGCTCACAGAACAATTAACAAAACGGAATGAGCTGTGCTAGAATCATGACAGGACTGTTAGTGTCATCACAATTCTTCAATCAAGCGTTGACGGGGACGATGCTGTCTGGAGGATCGGCGCGGCGACTGTGCTGGCTTAGCCTCAGACGATGTGGATAGGGGTTGAGCTACTTCGATGTCTGCATCGGGCTCAAATGCTGGCTCGACAGCTGGTACAGCGGGAGCGTGTTCTGCTGGTGCACTGACTGGTGCAGGTACGGTAGAAGGCTGGCGGAACTCAACGGCCGGTTGCGGTTGCATTTCAATTTGTTCAGTCTCCTCTTCCCTCTCAGATTCTGCCATACGAAGGTGGTCAGAATGTACATGTCGCGTCTGTTCACCGGTACGAACGATGTACGATAGCGGACCAAGCCGCTCGGCGATAGTTCCGTGAATCCACTTTGGACCATTGCCATTACGAGTGTTGAGTACTGCTACAGCATCACCGGGAGTATAGTCTCTCTTCGTTGATGACGCTGTAGTCTGACGCTGACGCTGGGAACTACTGAAATTGGGCTTCAGCAGGGAGAACTTGACGTTTGGGGATTTCTTGAACACCAAGCTTGCAGGCGTGACTTGTGTTGTTGAATGTGGTGTGTTGCGGTACGCGAACACAAAACGGTGGAGCTGGGTGCCGGCTGACACGTTGTCCGGGCGAGTACGTAGCGCCTTCTTTAACTCTTGGACACAACGTTCTACTTGTCCATTGGACGCAGGATGGTATGGCGGCGTGCACTTATGGCTGATTCCGTTCTCCAAACAGAATTGGCGGAACAGGTGCGACGTGAACTGCGGACCGTTGTCGCTGACCAGTGTCTTCGGGATGCCGTACGTAGATAAGAACAACAGTAGGCACTCCAGGGTCTGGTGGGTTGTCGTAGAAGACATCTTGTAGACGCTGAGCCATTTTGAATAGGCGTCTACAAGCAGAAAGTAGTGCTGGCCGTCGTGCTCGGCGAAGTCGACATGCACTCTTTCAAAGGGCTCGGAGGGATAGATCCAGGGATGCGGTGCTTCCTTGGGCGGAGCGTTAGCGGTGTCTTGGCACTGACGGCATGACGTGGCTAGATGCTTGATATCATCATCAATGCCTGGCCACCAGAAGAAACTGCGTGCGACGGACTTCATTCGCACAATGCCAAGGTGCACACTGTGCAGCTCCTGCAGCAGCGCGCGGCGAAGTTGCACAGGGATTACGGTACGATGGCCTCTCACCAAACAACCAGACTCAATCGTCAGCTCGTTGCGGCATCGGCGGTAGGCTTGAAGATCGTCGGGGGTGTCGGCGGGCCAACCGAACTGAAGGTACTGCATGATGCGCGAGATAATGGCATCGTCTTTGCTGGCTGCAGCAACATCAGCAGCAGAGACAGGTAGAGACTCACATGGATCACGGGCATGCTGGAGAACGGCGTTCACAACGGTTGCTTCTTGCTGCTCGGACAGCTTCAATGGCAGGCGGGATAAGCAGTCAGCGATGACGTTAGCGGTGCCACTGATATGCTCAATCTGGTACTCATACTCACTGAGAATTCCTGCCCAACGCTGTAACCGGGAAACGGCTGTTGCTGGCATGTCGGAGTGCGGTCCAAAGATACGCAGCAGCGGCTTATGGTCAGTGCGGAGTACGAACGGACGACCATACAAATACATGTGAAGACGTTTCACTGCGAACACAATTGCTAGAGCTTCACGCTCGATCTGGCTGTAGTGCGATTCGGCAGAACTCAAAGCTCGGGACACGAAGCACACAGGACGTCGGCTGCCAGTATCATCTTCTTGCAGCAGACAGGCACCGAGGCCATACGGAGAAGCGTCACACTCGACAATGACTTTGCGGTTGATGTCGAAGTGGGCAAGAATGGGTGCATCAGCCATCAGATTCTTGACCTTCTCGAATGACTCTTGACATTCAGACGACCAGTCCCAGGGTGCGTCTTTCACGAGAAGTTGTCGTAGCGGCTGTAGTACATCTGAGATAGATGGCACGAAACGGCTGTAGAACATCACTAAACCGATGAACGACTGCAGAGCTGTCTGGTCTTTCGGTGGTGGTGCGTCGACAATGGCAGCAACCTTGTCGCCATTGGTTTGAATGCCTTCGCCTGAGACAGTGAAACCGAGATAGCGGACCTGGTCAACGCTGAGTACACACTTCTCGAGACGTAGACGTACACCAAATTAGGCAAGTCGCTCCAGTACTTGACGTAGGCGCTCATCGTGCTCGGCTGGGGTTGCTCCGGTGATGAGGATGTCGTCATAGAAACAAACCACACCGGGGATGCCTTGCAGGATCTGATCCATGGTTTGTTGCCAGATTGCCGGGGCACTTGCAACACCAAACGGCAGACGGTTGAATGCATAGAGACCGCGATGCGTGGCAATGACGCAATACTTCTGGCTTGCTTCGGATAGCGGCAGCTGTGCGTATGCCTGGCTGAGATCAAGCGTGCTGAACATTGACCCACCGGCAAGACGTGACAACAGATCATTCGGATTAGGTATTGGATGCTGACGTGGATCGATGTGCCGGTTGATCGTGACCTTGAAGTCGGCACAAAGGCGAATGTCGCCGTTCTTTTTGCTGACTATCACTAGTGGCGAGGCCCACTCAGCTGACTTGACTGGACGTATGATACCTTCACCCTCCAGACGGTCGAGCTCACGCTCCACGGCAGGACGCAGAGCATATGGAACGGGACGAGCTGAACAACAGCGAGGGGTCGCTCCCTCCTTCAAGTGGATCTCAGCTTGGTGGTCCTTGACCGTACCGAGGCCAGTTCCAAATACCGCCGGAAACTCATTCTTGAAGTCAGCCTCTGTGCTCGACACCGAGTTGATGCGGAACAATGATGGCCAGTCGAGACGAAGACGGTGCAACCAGTTACGACCGAGTAGGGGATGGCTACCGCCCTTCACAACCACAATGGTGTCTGTGATGGATTGCTCACCGTACGCTACTTCAACAACCGTCTCTCCTACCACTGGTAGCGAACTGCCATCATAGGTGGTGAGTTGCAGCTGGGACGCCGCAAGCGGAACATCACTCCAGGACTGTTCCCACACGTGTTCAGGTACTAGAGTGACTTTCGCGCCTGTGTCCACTTCCATTCTCAGCGGCCGTTCGTTGACGAACACGGACACAAACAGCGAGTCTGACTTGTTCAGCGGAGACGTGACTTTCCCAATAGCGTAGGACTCATGCTGGACAGGCTTCTGCTGAGATGCTGGTGCGCTGTGTGCTGAAGGTGCACTAACGACTTGATGTGTACCACCTCCTCTTCCTCTCCTTCCAGTCTTGGACGACCTGGATGTCACTGGTTTCCGACACTTGCGCTTGTAGTGACCTTTCTTGTGGCAATTCAGACACTCCTTGCCACGTGCAGGGCAGTCAGCAGACTCCGCTGTGTGATCTGAAAGACCACAGTTGCTACATTCTGCTCCGGGTGGACCACTTGAATGCGTTGGTGTCCTAGTGCCAGTAGTGGAGGATACCAGACGGACAGGAGCTGGAGCACTGCGCGATTGTGACATTCCTCGAGCGCTGAGTTCAGTTGCCTCGAACTGTCTGGACAACTCCAGAGCATCCTTGAGCTTGAGAGTGCCTTGTTTCTCCAGAAACTTTCGGCGTAGACGATCATCGATGCACTTCTCTACAAGCTGGTCACACACTTGCTCGTCCTGGTCAGCAAACGAACAGAGCTTTGCTTGTTGAACCAAACGGTTGCCAAACTGAGCTACTGTCTCTGTCTCCATTTGCGCCAATCGGCGGAAAGTATGTCGTTCGAACATTACATTCGGAGTGTACTGAAAGTACGAATCCAACATAGTGACTACTTTGTCGTAAGAATTCTGGACAGAACCATCCGTCGGAGCTGGAGGTTCCGGGAGCGTGTCAAACACGTCCTGTACAGCGGGACCAACAAGATGTAACAGCTTTGCTTTCGACCGTGTCGAATCGGTGATATCCTCTGCAGCAAGGTAGTATTGAAAACTGCGTTTCCACTTCGCCCAGCGAATGGCTACATCTTGAGCAGGGCCAGTAGGATCGAACTGAGGTACTGGGCGTTCTGCCATTGCGGATTACAAAAAAACTATCTTCGTCGCCAGTGTTATATTCGCCAGAATATGATCGACAGAGAACTACATGGAGCAAGAGCACAATATATTACAACTATACTTCAGAACGACAAGCAAGGAACTATTCGAAATTAGGAAACGAATAACTGACATAGCTGACAGAGTAGACTACGCGCTCTACTTCAAACACTACGCATAACGTACACATGGCAAAGCAGTTGACAACAGTGTACAAGGCATGCATGTATAATGTGCAGTACACACAGAGCAGCGTATGGCGTACAGATCATGTACAGACAGACTATGGCTTCAAACATAACACACAGCATCTCCCAGTGTCTGATTTTCAGTGGGAGAAACCATCAGAGAAACTCCTGTACAAGATCCTGAATACTCAAGATGATTCCTCATCGGGGTATATCGTCGAGTGTGATCTGGAATATCCATACGAACTTCATGAGGAGCACAACGATTATCCAGTTGCTCCGGAACGTCTTTCCGTCAATGAGGACATGCTATCTCCATATCAGCAGGAGCTTGTTGATAGACTCAATTCTTCCGGAGTAGATGCTATCAAACTTGTACCAAACTTGAGGGACAAGACAAAGTACGTTCTCCATTACCGAAACTTGAAACTCTACACTCAGCTCGGACTACGTTGTGTCAAAATTCATCGTGCTCTGAAATTTACTCAGACACCGTGGATGAGAAACTACATCGAGAAGAATACAGACCTCCGGAAGAAGGCAAAGGATGATTTCTCTAAGGATTTCTATAAACTGATGAACAATGCGGTGTTCGGGAAAACTATGGAGAACGTTCGGAGGAGAGTCAACATAAAATTGTTGAGAAGTCGTGAGGAGAAAAAAATCAAACAGCTTGTTGCCAAACCAACGTACAACCGCCATGTGATCTTCAACGATGACCTGGTCGGAGTACAAAGTAACAGGACAAAGGTCGTCCTCAACAAGCCCATATATGTTGGGATGTCGATTTTGGATCTCTCAAAGACGCTCATGTATGACTTTTACTACAATCACCTGAAAGAGTTGTATGGCTCTGATGTGAAACTCTTGTACACCGATACAGACAGCTTGGTTCTTCTTTACTGATGATCTGTTTGATGACATGAGTGAGTTTCTTGATAAGTATGATACAAGCAATTATGATCAATCACATCCGTTATATTCCGAGAAAAACAAGAAAGTTGTTGGTCTGTTCAAAGATGAACTCGGTGGAAAACTGATCACTGAGTTTGTAGGACTTCGCTCCAAGATGTACAGTTACTCTGGTGAGGAAAGTGGAAAAAGAGCAAAGGGGGTGAAAACAGCAGTGCTCAAGAAAACCGTCACACATGATGATTTCCGAAATTGTCTCTTGGATCAATCCGTGTTCCATCGAGAAATGACAACACTCCGGAGTCATAGACACGTCATTTTCGGAGAAACAGTTAATAAGATAGCTTTATCACCATTGGACACAAAAACGATATATCACAGAAGATGGATGTAGTACGTTAGCGTTCGGACACCATGAAATACCAAGATATCTGGCTGAGGAGGGGTTTGATAGTAGCATTTCATTCATGAGTTATGCTCCGGATATGATGAAGTAGTTTGTCCACTGATCATGAGAAAAAAAAAAGATATTTTTTTAACTTTTCTTACACATTCGATTCTCTATAGTTCTTCCATATGACATCAAGTCTTTGTTGTGATTTTTTACACTTTGGAATGAATGGTTTGATCTTGATCACATCATCTTCATCAGCAATGAGTTTCGAAAGTAGGAATGGGTAACTCACTTTGACTTTTTTCTCTTTGTTTGCTACTTCTTTGATCCTCTGAATTTCATCAACAAGATTGTTGAATGGGGTTTTGCTAAGATATTTTGGTAAACCAACCTTGTTCAGGGTTATCTCCAACCTTGTTTCGATTCCTATTCTGGTTTTGGATTTTTCTATTTCTTCCAAGTAAATTGTGGTATCATACAGATCATTTTTCTTCATCTCATACACCTCAAGATCCTGTGGAGTTACTTCATTTTCCAAAATCATCAATTCTATATCTAGGAAACCATACCTGGTTTCTATAGTCAATGTAGTCCGCTATCATCTTATCTTTCCTGGTGGAGTGTTCATCATCTATCCATGTATCCATGACTTCTTCTTCTTCTTTGTTTATAGAGCAGTCGTCATCAAACCACGCATTCATGATTTCACTTCTAAAAAAAAAATATTTTTTGCTTTTTTGCTTTTTGTGGATTGTTTGACTATTTTTTACAAATCGTTTGCTGAGAATTTCACTTCTTCTTTCTGGAAATGCTTTATAGCAACAACAACAAGTTTGAGACTGAGAGTGTCATCGGTCTTGTCTTTGTAAACCCACTTCAGGTGAACGATACCATTGACGGTGTCACCTTGCTTGATCTTGTTGGTTTTTGATGGTTTGTTATCCTCATCAAAGATAGCACAATCAGGAGAAATCTGGAGAAACAGGATTGGGTGCTCACATTTTACTGTGTTAATTCTGCTTCTAACCACATTTCCTTCGGATTCTATCTGCTTCTCGATACAACGGATGGATTTACAAATGTCACTGTCAGTAGAAAATTTCAGAGAGTCCTCTTGTCCTTTCTTCACAGCATTCATGATATTTGTCTCATCAGTGAATTTTATGTATGGCTCCTTACCATTGATAGTCAGTGAACCACATTTATTCCCATCCTTGATGGTGATTCGATAATCAATGAAGTCATTGAGAATAGCAGCTGTGTCAAACGGGGTTGGCTTCTTGCTTGTCATCTTGGAAAGTTTGTGTAGAATCGTTGGTTATACCTATGGCAACCGTTCCTCTAATACAGAATAATTAGGATTCTCATCCATAGCTGAACCATCCGAAGTTGGCTCAGAAACCGACCCCACATCAGTCCTCGAAGTGAGCCAAGATGGGGTAAGTGAAAAGGATCAAGTTGACTCACTTCCGATTTTCTCGGAGACAGCAAGTTGACTCACTTTTCTGGGGCCGGGTTGAGCCAACATGGGATCAGTGGTTGGAGTTGTAATATTAGTACTTGGAGGTGTAAAATTAGTACTTGGATCTCACACACACATTTCTTACCATAAAGAATAAGAAGTGTATTGAAGGGTTAGAACTATAGGGTAGGAGAGGGGGGGACTGTATGGCAGACCTATCTCCTGGTAAGAGTCATTATCTCACAGAGTCATTATCTCACAGAGTCATTATCTCACACGTCCCCCTAGTAGTATAGGGGGAGGGGGAGACTTTGGAGGGAGGCCCGAAGGGCCGATCGAGAAAGTCGATTTTGGACCACCTGGAAGGTGGTCCAGAACCCCCTCCCCCTATACTACTGTGGTGTCGGTACTGGCAAAGACGATTCCACCAGCTGTGCATGGCTACCCTTCCACTCCTGCTGTTTTCATGACTTTGTCCAAGGTTCCATCTATCCACGAAAACATACGCAGCAGGTCAATATCATCCGAACCTGACTGCTGCATGAGCCCAGCACTTTCCACTTGTGCAACACACTCTTTCAGGCTATTCTGTTGCTTTTGCAGTGGTTTTTTTATATTATTATTTTTACTGTGTTCACATACCCAACTCGTAAGATTTAATAATAATGAAAGACAATGGTACTGACTCGGTGAGACTTGGACAAACGCGGTATCAGCTACTTTGACCTTATGGCATCCAGCTTCGCGAACAGATTTGCTTCACGTTTCAATCTTTCGATCTGCTCCTTGATAAAGACGGTGACCTTAGCAGAAGCATACCGGTATTCTGTTTGTTCATTCAGTGCTTTAATGTTCATGCCAACATTGCTCATGGCTTTATTGAGGACACCGACGCGTCAGCACAGCTAGCTAGTTTTTCAGAAAGCTTGTCACGTGACATTAGAATTGCACTGGGGATGTCCAAGACCTGATGATCTTGTTTGTGTGAAGGTGGCAGCTTGCATCTTGGGCACAGAATCTGGTTGCATTGGACGCAGAATCGGTCAAACTTTTCATTAAATTTTGTGTGCACCGCACACTGGGGATTTCGTTGGCCACGTGCTCTGCCTGTTGATCCTGCACTGCTAGACATGGTAGACAAGGAGGTGGCAATTCGGATGAGCGGTTTCACAATATGCCCTTTGTTGTCGACCGAGGTAGCTCTCTTGCTACTGTGCTGCTGTGTTATAGTTACATGCATCCAGCCAATGTCTCTGCTTCGTTCAGAATAGGAAGACTGTTGTACCACCCGTTCTTTTCTTTTTCTTTTTAAAGCGATTATTTGTAAGAACGGACTCGGGTGGAGAGCCAAGGATTAATTTATAAAAAATAAAAAGGACCAAGGAACTACAAGTTACGCTATAATGTCCACCACCAGTTACTAAACAATCAGCTCATGCGTTATCATTGCACCACACTGATCAGCGGTACTGACGTTCTACAACTAACTGGCCAACAGCTCTAGCACATCTTGGATGCGCACTCCAACAGCCTTCCCACTTGGAAGGTTCTATTAAAGTTATAGAAATAACATGGAGGGGAAGGTGAGCGCAACCAAGATAAGCACGAGCTGGAAGTCTCAGCTGTGAAGGACGTTGGCGGATGTTCGTGCATGTCGATGACGATACTGGCAAGACCATTGGATAATACCAAGAGCTCATAACCCCCACCCACTGGGGTTATGAAGTCTTGATAATACGGTGAAACCACGATTCAAGGACGCAAAGCAACACTCCACACAGCTTGCGTGGCTCAACACTGATGCAAAGATCAAGAAAAGGGGGAAGCTATGCGAGCAAGAATCATGCAAAACCGAACGCCTCAGTAAAACAGCACTGTACTGCGACTACGACAATTTAGTAGTAGGTTTTTCATTTTGACCCGACGAGACCATACGACGCTTGCAGATCACAGCACGAACAGTTCACCAGCCACACTCCACGAAAGCAAGTAGTAGTACTCCTGACAAGTCGGCTTGTTTCGT